GCGAATATGATAACCTCATGAAACACTCAGTAATATCTAATGGTAATGAAAATGATAGTAACAAAAATAATAATGATAAACAATAACAGTAATGAAAATAATTACTGATAATGATAAACTTAGCAATTTTAAAAATAGAAAAAGATAAAAACATACGAGATTTTCTTCAAACTTCCCGAGCTGTTGCAACTCTCCCCCCAAGTGCTCTCCCCCACCCCCCATCCCCATCTGCACCTGTTAGGGGATTATCCTACATCTAGCAACTCTGCCCGGCGCCCCACTATATAAAGTGCTGCAACTGCTCATGGTGCACAGTTTGGGACAATCAGCTCAACTTCAAAATGAAATTCGTAAGTTGTTTTTCCCTTTACTTATACGTCAGTCCACTGATTTTAAAGACACAAATTCATATTTTCCATGCATGATACATGTATAAAACAAAATTTTATATATAAGCAAAGGCAGAGAAAGATGTATATGTATATATATATGTAAATGGATAAAGTAATGTTTATATATCTTATTTTCTTGATATATTTTGCAGGTGTCGATCTTGCTCGCTGTGGCGATGGCTCTGTCTGCCCTGCTGGGGACAGCACGAGCCATGCCTGAGCCAGAAGCCCTGGCCGACGCCGACCCTTGGGCCCATAGAAGAGGCTATGGAGGAAGCTACGGACGTGGACGTTACTACGGAGGAGGAGGCTATCGCGGAGGCTATTATGGACGCGGCCACGGCTGGTGAGACTCCCAAACGATGATGATCCGACCCAAGCTTCTGCTCTCGCTTTACCTGAAGGGCGACGAACCGATTTCCGATTGTGATACATGAAAATAAACCAGTTTTAATTTTATCGAATCTTTTTCTTAACACGATTCCTCAAATTATATAGTTGAGCAAGTAAAGTTTTATGTGCATTTTAGATCTTCTGAATTCGTGAAGTGAATTGGATTGCGACACCTTAAATACTAAATTTCAACATTGTAGGTTCTCAGATTTACCATCAAATATAAAGTCTGAGAAAAGAAACGTCTAAGATCTGCATAAAGATCATATGGAATTTAGAAGAGAATAAATGTCAAATTCCTAATTAGGATAAACTAAAAGATCACGAAAACATAATCAGAATATGAAGAGGGAGACCAGAGCCAGATTTTTTATTAAGATCTCAGACCGAGAAAAACTAATAACTTTTTACAGTATATATATCAGTATAAAAAGTATGCTTACATGTGTCTGCTATTCATATGCACAGAAGGAAAGAGAGAAACGAGCGGACAGTAAAAAGCTAAATATATGTATTTTCTTAAACTGAATACCGCTTTTCATGGAATATATATAAACTTTTACACTATATACCTGTATACATATATAGGTAACGTGTGTCTATACAAGTCCGTCTTCATACATACACCATTTTTATAGGTTAATATAATATGTAAAGATTGAAAGAACTCACAGACTATAAAACTTTTTGAATTGCGTGTAATTCACAAACTTCATCGGAAATCGCGACTCAGTCACACAACATTCGAATCAGCAGATTGGTATTCCTTGTAGGTCCTCAACATCTCATCTTCCGCACACTAAACCAAAGTGAAAAACATAGAAACCCTTTCTGTTTTGCATGTATCAATATGAAAAAGCATTTGAAAATAATTCGGAAACGCGGTTTTTAGCATCTATTGCAGAACAAATGAAAGTAAAGTACAACAGTATTTAAAATCAAACTTCACGTAGAAATGGATAAGTAAATAGATGATGATTTTGATAAAACACGAGGCAGGGCCATACCTTCTCACGAAAACATCTCATAGTAATTTTTGAAGGACATTAAAGATGTGAGATTGGAGGAAAAGGATTTACATGAGGGATTAGTATTTAGGAAACCTTAAATTTTCAAAATCTTATTGAAAGGATGTTTGTGATGATATATTCAATAAGTAAAACTTTGATAATCTACTTGTAATTGCATAGTAATTAGGAAAATAGTAACGGTAATGATAGTTACAATACAATACTTTTAACAGTCACAGTAATGATAATCAAAATGTTAGTTTTGACATTACAACATAACAATGGTAATTTTAAAGCTAACAACAATCATGACAGTAGTGATAATATCAATGCTAATTATAGCTACAATATTAATGAAATACATACTGACAACAAAAATAAAAAGGATGATACTAGTTGCATTGATAATGATAATAGTGATAATGATAATGATAGTAATAAGTATAACAGCAACAATAATAACAAAATTTATCAATACAGCAGAAGGTGCAGCGAATCCGATAAGAATAATTTCAATATCAGTAGCTATAATAAAAATTATACTTTATAAAACAATAATGATAATAATGAAGCACTCAGTATAATCTAATATTGATAACAATAACACAATCATCATATATAAAATCATAATAAAAACTCATAAGAAAAAAAGGCGTATTTCCCAGACTTCCCAAGCTGTTGCAACTCCTCCCCATCCCCATCCGCACCTGAGGATACGTCAATTATACTACACCTGGCAACTCTGCCCGGCGCCCCACTATATAAAGTGCTGCAACTGCTCATGGGGCACAGTTTGGGACAGTCAGCTCAACTTCATCAAAATGAAATTCGTAAGCTGTTTTTCCTTCTACTTATACATCGGTCCACTGATTTTCAAAACTGAAATTCATATTTTCTATGATACAATATGTATAAAAAATATGTAAGCATCCAAAGAGAAAGATGTAAATGTGTATTTACATGTAAATAGATAAGTCCAACATGTGTCTACTCTGCAGGTGTCGATCTTGCTCGCTGTAGTGATGGCTCTGTCTGCCCTGCTGGGGACAGCACGAGCCATGCCTGAGCCAGAAGCCCTGGCCGACGCCGACCCTTGGGCCCATAGAGGAGGCTACTATGGAGGAGGCTACAGACGAGGAAGTTACTACGGAGGAGGAGGCTATCGCGGAGGCTATTATGGACGCGGCCACGGCTGGTGAGACTCCCAAACGATGACTCCGACCCAAGCTTCTGCTCTCGCTTTACCTGAAGGACGACGAACCGATTTCCGATTGTGATACATGAAAATAAACCAGTTTTAATTTTATCGAATCCCTTTTTTCTAACACGATTTCTCAAATTACGTAGTTGAGTAAGTAAACTATGTGTATTTTATTACGGCATTTGAATTCATGAATTAAATTAAATTGCAACACTTTAAATACTAAATTTCAACAATGTATGATATCTAACTTGCCATCAGTTATAAAATCTGAGAACATGAACGTCTAAGATCAGAAAGATGATCATGGTACAGATTTTTCCAATAGTATAAATAAAAAATTCATTATTAGGATAAAGTGAGTATAAAAAGAATAGAAAGGAGAGGGAGACGAGGCAGCAAAACATTAATTGAATATAACAAGGTCTAGAAACAAGGTCTGTCAAATTTTAGTAATTATACTTTAGAAAAGATATGAATGAGAATGAATATCTTCACAATACAAGCGATGTATTTGACAGCTGCATTAGCTACTTTCTCAATATATATTTGTAAATAAAATGTGTAGTTGTATGAATGTCTGTTATTCATATACACAGAAGGAAACAAGTGGACAGTAAACAAGCTAAATAAGAAAAATGTATTTATATTCAACATCACTTTTTGTATAGTATATATACTTTTACACTGTATATACCTGTATACATATATATGTAATGTGTATGCGTCTTTGTATATCTGCATTCATACATATGCCATTTTACAGGTATATACAGTATATAAAGATTTAAAGAATACAGCATATAAACCTGTTTCAGTTGCTTGTAAATCACTCACAAAAGTCATCGGAAATCGCAACTTATTTACATAACATTCGAATCAACACAGGTTTTCTCAGTGGATCCTCAACAACAGATCACATCATCCGCACACTAACCCAAACAAAGAGGAAAACAAATGAGCATAGAAACCCTTTCTGTTTATCATGCGTCAGTATGGGAAAGCATTTGACTTTGTTGAATTAGCATTAGAAAATAAATCGGAAACGCAGTATCTACGTCTATTGCAGAAGAATAGAAAGAATGGAAAAATCTACCATCAAGATTTAAGTAATAAATAAAAGATAATGATTTAACATGGCATGTGACAGGGCGATATCTTTTCACCAAAACAGGTCACAGTAAGTTTTGAAGGATATTAATGGTGTTAGATTGGAGGAAAAGGAGTCAAGTGAAGGATTAGTGTTTAAGAAAACTCAGTCTTTTAAACTTTGCTGAAATGATGTTCGTGATAATGATAATGGTATATTTAGTATAGCTACTATGATAATCTACTTGTAATTGTATAGAAGTGTGGAAGATGGTAACGACAATAATAGTTACAACACCTGTAGCAGTTACAGCGATGATAATCAAAATGATAGTTACATTACAAAAATAATGATAATGATAAAACTACTTACAATCATAATAGTGATGTCAGTGCTAACGATAGCTACAGTATTAATGACAATAATAACATGAATGACAATAATGAAAATAATAAGGATGATCGTAATAATTATAATAATGGTATAAGCAATGATAATGGTAATTATGATAACAATAACAGTAACAATAAAAACAATGATAATAGAATTAATCTGGTCAGAAAAGTAGAAGTGAATATGATAAGAATAACTTTAATAGATATATGGACCAATGATGATTATAATGAAACTCAATATCTAATGGTAATGATAATTATAGTAATAACAATGAGAATAAACAATACCAGTAACGAAAATAATTATTATTGATATCAACAACCATCATTATAATAGATAAGCAAATAATTATGATAAAAACTAATAAGAAAAATTGTGCATTCCCCAGGCTTCCCGAGCTGTTGCAACTCCTCCAACTGCTCTCCCTCCTCCCCCATCCCATCCACACCTGTGAGGATACGTCCATTATCCTACATCTGGCAACTCTGCCCGGTGTACCCACTATATAGAGTGCTGCAACCGATCATGGTGCATAGTTTGGGACAATCAACTCAACTTCACCAAAATGAAATTCGTAAGTTGTTTTCACTTATACTTGTACGTCAGTCCAATGGGTTTCTAGACTGAAATTCATATTTTCTATTTATGATGCAATTTGTATAAAAATAAACCATATATAAAATGACAGAGAAAGATTTATTTTTTTATTTTGCTATGTCTCGAAAAGTCTTAGTTAAGTCCAACATGTATCTGCTCTGCAGGTGTCGCTCTTGCTCGCTGTGGCGATGGCTCTGTCTGCCCTGCTGGGGACAGCACGAGCCATGCCTGAGCCAGAAGCCCTGGCCGACGCCGACCCTTGGGCCCATAGAATAGGCTATGGAGGAAGCTACGGACGAGGACGTTACTATGGAGGAGGAGGCTATCGCGGAGGCTATTATGGACGCGGCCACGGCTGGTAAACGAAGACTCCGCCTTCCGTGACCTCCGACTGAAACTTCTCTCGATTTATCTGAATGACAACGAACCTATTTCCGATTTTGCTACATGGAATTATACCAGGAATTAGTCCTATCGTTTTGTTTTCTTTTTCTGAGTGGTTCCTTAATCAAATTTCTAACGTCTGTCATTTGTTGTCTTCGATCGATTTTTAATTATATTCCTTCGATGATGAGTTGGCTCTTTTAAACCAAACAAATGATAACACGACAAAGGATGGATAAGATCATCATTAAGTCAACAAATGCCACGTAAATGATTTAGGAGACTAGTACACTGATTTGAAAAATATTGAAAATTTTGCAACACTACAGATTAATTTGTTGAAGACTCGGAGAACAAGAGGAAAGAAAAAGATATGTAAAATATCTTCTCAGTCAGTCTACGAGGCAACACGGTCAACACGATACAAAAGCAAAACCCTTGTTAGGCAAAAAATAACGTACAAATACATAAATATAAATATACACATACATGTGTACACATACACGCATGTGAAGACACATTTATATACAAATGAGTATATATGCATATATACATATACATTTATATATATGTATATTATAATTCTATATATATGTATATATAGGTACGTACATATGTATGTGTATATATAGCCACATACACAGTATATATATATACTGTGTATGTGGACATCAGATATATGTGTATACATATACATATGTATATGAACCAGTATTCATTATGAAAAGAAAATTACACTGTAGATAAAATAATGTGAAACAAAAATATATATATATTCCCAATCCTCCCAAGTTGCTGAACTCCCGACCCCTCACACCTCAGCTATGGGTTTGCAACATTATATACATACATATAAATACATATATACATATTCATATCAATATATATACATATATATATATATATATATATACATATATATATGTATACATATATATGTAATGTGTATGCGTCTTTGTATATCTGCATTCATACATATGCCATTTTACAGGTATATACAGTATATAAAGATTTAAAGAATACAGCATATAAACCTGTTTCAGTTGCTTGTAAATCACTCACAAAAGTCATCGGAAATCGCAACTTATTTACATAACATTCGAATCAACACAGGTTTTCTCAGTGGATCCTCAACAACAGATCACATCATCCGCACACTAACCCAAACAAAGAGGAAAACAAATGAGCATAGAAACCCTTTCTGTTTATCATGCGTCAGTATGGGAAAGCATTTGACTTTGTTGAATTAGCATTAGAAAATAAATCGGAAACGCAGTATCTACGTCTATTGCAGAAGAATAGAAAGAATGGAAAAATCTACCATCAAGATTTAAGTAATAAATAAAAGATAATGATTTAACATGGCATGTGACAGGGCGATATCTTTTCACCAAAACAGGTCACAGTAAGTTTTGAAGGATATTAATGGTGTTAGATTGGAGGAAAAGGAGTCAAGTGAAGGATTAGTGTTTAAGAAAACTCAGTCTTTTAAACTTTGCTGAAATGATGTTCGTGATAATGATAATGGTAATTATGATAACAATAACAGTAACAATAAAAACAATGATAATAGAATTAATCTGGTCAGAAAAGTAGAAGTGAATATGATAAGAATAACTTTAATAGATATATGGACCAATGATGATTATAATGAAACTCAATATCTAATGGTAATGATAATTATAGTAATAACAATGAGAATAAACAATACCAGTAACGAAAATAATTATTATTGATATCAACAACCATCATTATAATAGATAAGCAAATAATTATGATAAAAACTAATAAGAAAAATGTATTTATATTCAACATCACTTTTTGTATAGTATATATACTTTTACACTGTATATACCTGTATACATATATATATGTATATTATAATTCTATATATATGTATATATATATGCATATATGTATATATATATGCATATATGTATATATATATATACATATATATATGTATCCTCTGTATATATTATTGGGTTATGCATATGTTTACATTTTTAATTGTTGCCTCTTTGTAAAACCTGAATCACTTTGTATAATTGGACTAATTATTGATCACTTAATTTCCTGTTTTAGCACTGATGATTGCAAAATAAAGATGAAAATCTTCACGGCCGTACTTATCTACCTCTTCGTTCTTATGAAGTGGCAAACCCATTACGGATATATATATATATACAAATACACATGCAGACACACATGTATATACATGCATATATGTGCACATCATAAATATATGTATCATATGTACATATACATAAACATATATGTATGTGTCTGTGCGTGTGTATAGATATATATGTAGGTGTATATATACAAATGCATATGTACATAAATATATATATAAATTTATATATATACGTATATATATTGTATATGTATTCATAAACATAAATGTACTTATACTGTATATATATTCATCAACACATACATATATATGTGTGTGTGTATGTGTATGCGTATGCGCATGTGTATGTATATATACACACATGTGTGTCTGTGCGTGTGTGCTTAGATACATATGTGCATATATATACATATATATATGTGTATATATATATGCATATATATACACACGCACATATATATATACACATATGCTTATATATGTTTATATATACGTATATATATATATGTATACATATATATATGTATATGTGTATGTGTGTGTAATAGGTATATATGTGACTATTTGTAAAAGTATATCTATATATTTTAATATTTTTTTTTTACCTATAAGTATATGTATGTATATATATACTTATATATGTATAAATAAATATGCATGCATACATACATAAGTAAATATTTACACATAAATGTATATCTACATACATATATACATATATTTATATGTATATGTGTGTGCACAAGCACAAACACACGCACAAACATATATATATATATATATATATACATATATACACATATGTACATATATACACATTTATATATAGACATGCATATGCATACAAACACACGCACACATATAGATATATATGTATATATGCATATATGTACACACACATATGCATATAGATATGCGTATATGTATATATATGTATACATATACGTATATACATGTCTACATCTATCAATTTGTCTCTATCTATATGTATATATATATGCATAAGTATATATGCATATTTGTCTAAATATACATATAGATGTATATAAACATGTCTATATCTTTATTTACCCATCTCTATGTTTGTATATGTATATATACATCATATACAATGTACGGTTATATACATATCCATACATGTATATAGTAGTGTATATATACATATATTCATTTATGTATATGTATATATACATGTGTATATATGTATATATATACTGTATATACATATATGCACATGCTATTGACAACGATGATATTGAAAATGATAAGAACAATGTTAATACAAGTGACAGCATAGCAACAGTGATAAAAAATAAATAAATAAATAAATAAATAATAGGAAAATATCTTGAAATTCCTTGACTACTCCCCTCCCCTTCCACCCGCGGATATCTCACACGCGGCAACTCGACCAGGCGCTCCTTTATATAAACCGCTGCATCCGAGGGGTCGGCGGTTCGCGCCCCGCCCAGGCGCGAGAAGTTGCAATTGTCGCCTGGAGGTTACTGCTGTGGCTGGGCGGGTGGGTAGGGTGGGTAAGGTGGGTAAGGACTAAGCTCTGCCGAGTCAGCACCTGCTGACACATTGTTAGCGAGTCGGCATTAGTCGGCACAGGCCGGGCTCCCCCATAGCCCGGGCGAGGCTCAGGTTCGCATATCGGACTTATCCTTAAGCAAAATGAAATTCGTAAGTTTTGATGAAAAAAAACACCTCTTTATTAGTTTGTATAAATGTGTATATATAAACTTATGTGTATGTGTATATTGACGTGTGCATATATGTATATATATATATAAAT